CTCGCTTGGAGAAAAATAATCGAGGCCCGTGGGGCTCGCTCGAGGAAATACTACAGACGACTACGGGCACTCGCGACTCGTCTCCGACGAGAAACACTTAATGAATTTTCGTCGCCGCCGAGGGTCTTAATATACCCATCGCCACTGAATTCTGAATGCGAGTATGCTGCCGGCGCTGTGTCCACCTATCGGCGGCGCGCCGTACTACCGCCGCGCGCCGTGTCGTCGGTGCTCGCAGGAGCAGCGCCGTGACGTGTGGTGCCCGCGCGCCTGATGTGGCGTGGGTCGCCACATCATTCATGACGCGATCATTATAGCAATCGGCCAACTTAATACAGAAGACCGGAAATTTATACGAGAACACTCGTATTTTTGTGATAATGTTCACGCTCGAACTTATGAACAATACTTAAATACAATCGATAAATTGTCCACTCATCTTGATTCTGAAGAACTGACTCTTCCTAGAATATCATCTACACGATCTCTTTCTCAATCTTCTTCGCACCAAATGTCAATATCTCATCACACTAGGCTTCCTCGGATTGACTTGCCTAAGTTTAATGGAACGACTTCTGAATGGATGTCCTTTAAAAATCTATTCTCTTCGATAATTCTTGGAAATACAACATTAAGCCCTGTTGAAAAACTACAATATCTTAAAGCCAGCTTGACTGGTACAGCTTCTCATTTTCTTAAGAATACCGCATTAACTGCTGATAATTTTGAAAAGGCGTGGACCGATCTTACTTCTTTTTACGAAAATAAACGACTATTAGTTAATTCAGCAATCCAGTCCTTACTTTCATTAAAAAAGATTACGCAGGAGTCAGCCAGTGAACTCGAGAATCTTTATACAAATATCATGCAAATTTATCGAACGCTGGAAACTTTACAACGCCCAGTTGATAAGTGGGATGATTTCCTAGTATTTACAGCAATTCAAAGATTGGATTCAGAATCCGTTAAGGTTTGGGAATACCATCTCGGATCAACAAAGGAACCGCCCACCTGGAAACATTTTTGTGAGTTTTTGGTCACACGTCTTCTTTCGTTACAAGCATTTGAAAAATCTCAAAACATTCCTGCAAAAAAGAAGATATCACCTCAAGCAGTTAAATCTCATCATCAAATTCAAAAGAGAACCCAGATGACACAACAAATTCCTTCTTGTATTCTTTGTTCGGCGAAGCATTTTTTGTATAATTGTCCCCAATATAACTCACAAACTACCCAGCAACGTTATTCTTTAATCATGAAGCACGGCCTTTGTTATAATTGTTTGGGAAAACATCGTGTGTCTGAATGCCTTTCAACTCGACGATGTACAAAATGTGGTAAGAAACACCATACAACGATTCACAGAAAAGTTCCATCAGGTAAAGAAAACGTTTCTGAAAAAACAGCTTCAAATGTTTCCACCGAAACTTCAACCACACCAGGTTCATCACAAGTTTTACATGCCGCTATTAATCCGGTTCAGGCATCTACCAACTGTATTTTATTAGCTACCGCGCAAGTTCTACTCATCAATAAAGCAGGACGCATCATGAAGATCCGAGCACTTATTGATCAAGGTTCTGAGATAACGCTTATATCTGAAAGAGCCGTTCAGACATTAAAGCTTCCTCGTTCACAATCGTCCATTCCTTTAGTCGGGGTTGAAGAACAAACACCTAACCGTACTCGTGGAATTACTTCTTTCAAGATTACTTCTCTCTATGATAAGTCAGAAGAGTTTCAATTTTCAGCTCATATTCTTACTAAATTAACCAGTTCAATTCCTTCAGTTCAAATTATCAAACAATACTGGCCACATTTCGATGGATTACATTTAGCCGACCCTCAATTTGGTTCTCCGGGATCTGTAGATCTCATCATTGGCGCAGATCACTATCATTTAATTATTAAGGAAGGTTTAAAAAAAGGACCATCCAATACTCCTATTGCACAGTTGACTTCATTCGGATGGGTTTTATCCGGCCCTGCCTCATCAGAAACGCTACGTCTTACTGCTCGAAGTTATCATATCTCTATGGAATCTCAACTTTATGATCTTTTGCACAGATTTTGGCAATTAGAAGAAGTAAAAACAAGTCACGAATTTCTTCTATCTTCTGAAGATCAACAGTGTGAGCAACATTTTAAAGACACCCATTCTCGAGACACTCAAGGCCGATACATTGTTCGTCTCCCTTTTAAAAATTCACCTCATCTTTTGGGAAATTCGTATAATAAAGCATCAAGGTTGATGGAATCCCTTCAAAATAAATTTAAATCAGATGTCAAGTATTCAGAAGAATATCTGAAATTCATGAATGAATACGAGAACCTTCGACATATGCAATTAATAACAAAAAAATATTGAACATTTTCATCCAAATTTTTATTTACTTCATCATGGAGTTTGGAGAAAAAATAGTACTACTACAAAACTTCGAGTTGTTTTCAATGCCTCGAGCCGAACTACACATCTGGAGTTTCTCTCAACGAAATTCTTCACGCAGGCCCTAAATTACAGATAGATCTTTTCAACGTATTAATCTGGTTTAGACAATTTCGATTCGTTTTTTCGACTGATATCGTTAAAATGTATCGACAAATCAACGTTCATCCTGACGACTGGAAATTTCAGCGGATTCGATGGTCAACTTCGGAAAAAATTCTTCAATCGTTCGATCTTACCACCGTAACGTATGGGCTAGCTTGTGCTGCCGTTCTTGGCTCTACGTACAATTTTACAGCTTATCGAAGACGAAGGTAAACAATTCCCATTAGCAGTTCCTTGCCTCACGCAAGGTAGATATGTTGACGACATATTTGGAGGAGCCGATTCAATTGAAAATGTAAAAAAAATAGTATGTCAACTTCGTCAATTGTGCATGGCGGGCGGCTTCCCGTTACAAAAATGGGCAAGTAACGATGCTGATGTTCTCAACGATGTTCCACCAGATCGACGAGTTAACCCGCATCCTATCTCAATTGATCAAAATTCTTGTATTGCAATCCTTGGCCTACAATGGCAACCTACGTCCGATTGTTTTCAGTTTACCTTAGATCGTCCTTCCTCAACCACAATAACTAAACGAACGTAGTATCTTGTCAACCATCCCCAGGTAGCATTTTGTCAGGGCGTGCCCGAGGTTCGTAAAGGGCCTAGACAGGCATGCCCTAAAATAGGCCAGGCAATGTAGGGCCCAGATAGGCATGCTCTAAAATAAGCTTGCCATCGTTGGGCCTAGATAGGTCCTACTAAGGTAAATTCTTAGTGGAATTTCCTGAAC